ATATATATGTATATATATATTAATATAGCATAGAAATCTTAAGGAATTCTTTTTATACTGTATCAATTTACAAGATGGCCACCACAAAAGGGATTATCTTGTAAGCCACAACAAACTTTTCTGCCAATTGTAATGCTTTTATCAATCAATAGAATTTAATTTACGTATGAATGAGGCAACAGTTACTGTACAGCAGGACAGTATTCAGATGTATCAAAGGACATGGTGAACAACATCATCTTTCTATGCTATTTATTTATTTATTTCTTGATTAACCTGGGTTAACAAATCGGTTCCCATGGGGTTTGAAGCGAAGCTTTTAAGAACATGGGCTATAAGTACTGCAGTTTTTCTCACTGCCCCAACATAACCAGTCTAGTAGGTCAGATGAAACGTCATGCAACTTTCATTACCAAGATAGGCTTACCTGCCATCTGATCCTGGCCTTGCTTCATCATTTTTTAGTCGATTTTTGTGAACCTTGTACGAATTGGGCAGTCCTGGAGAATTATGAGCTGGTTTAGGGGTCCCTATGAGAATAAATTCATTAAGTAAAAAATGTTAGTGTCTTCATTATACAAATCACAAAATTGAAATTTATAAAGCTATTGGTTCATTACAAAACCACATTTACTGTAACAACTTTTATCTAAAACTTACCAGGTCTTGAATTACTCGGTGAGAAACTTGTAGGTGTTGCAGTAGTACTTGCTGTATCAGCTGAAATGCCTTTTGCCTTTAACTTTGCTTCTTGCATGTTCATTTTGCATTTTTCTACTATCTTATCCAATTCCTCGTAAGTTCTCTGAAAACAGATTAATTAAAACACTTGCATTTTCTGTACAATATATAAAAGAGCATTTCAGTTGATAAATAAATTACTGGTAAAAATTAATTGACAATGTATGTAGTGATATAGAGTACCTTCTTCCTGGTGTAAAGTGCAAGTATAGTAATAGCAATTTGTTGCAACTCCTCTTCATTGGTATTAAGCAAGTCATACCATGGTGGATTGTTTGGCAAAGGCACCTATAAATGAGAAAGTAAACAGAGCTTTCAAAGGACCAGTACCTCATTCATTAGTGTTTCTATTCCTAATTGATTTACAGAAAAATATACTTACACTTTACCGATTCCATTAAAATATAACTTTTAAAAAATCAGTTACATGTGAACATTGCATTGAAGTGGAAAAACTCACAAATGACTCAAATTCATAAACTCCACGCATTATTTAAATGACTGTCTTTTTAAAACAAATCTATAAATTATGGCATAAAAAACAGCTCCTAAAAACAATTTTGGAAAAGAAAAAGAAACCTGTTCTAAACTCATACCCAAAATTCTTCCCAGGACCCAACTCAAAACTTATACATGTCTCCCTCCAATTAAAGACCACTTTTTGGACCATGGTCTTTAAAAATTTTGGTCTTAAATTACTAAAATTATTACTAAAATAATATAAGATAGGTGTACATTTGGGACGGAAAATAGGTTGTCTTTAATTGGAGGTGGTCTTTAATAGACACTCTGCTAGGTTGGTCACGCGACGTATAGTGGGTATCAATAATTGTAAACATGAAGTGCGAGCGACGGTCGGTAATAGGATTGTTGGTGCTGTAAAGCATGTTGAATAATTTTGGTTTGGAATGTCAGAAATTATACCAAATTGATTGGAAATTGAGATTGAGAGTTTTGCCATAATCGTTTGCTAATGCTCCATAAGATACTGGCCCTAAAACACTGAGATTTTTTGAGAAATTCTAGGTCCCAGCTCCTGCATGTTTACAACCTGTTTAGGTATGGACAAGTCTTCGATCCGCAACTGCGATTTTGACACACTGATTTCTAGGCTACTTTAGGTTTACGAAGGATCACAAATTAAAAAGCATACGAAGCACATTGAACGCTAGAATAAGTAAATAAACACTATTGTGAACCTTTCGCAGTGCCTTTCCATGCCAGTTATTTCTCACGCTAATGGTGGGCGAATGTTTTCAAAACCATAACATTACCTTTTCTTATACTTTAACACTCGCACTGTAAATTCTCCATAGTAATACCCACTATATGTCACATGACTAGCTGTAAACAAACCTCGCAGAATGTGTATATTAGAGAAAGACCTGTATTCAAATAATATTTAGGGCAGAAAAAACATACAGGTTGGCCTGGTTCATCTGGCAACTAATCACTGTCTAGGATCATTGTCACTGACCCCACCCAAACTTTGGAAAAAATTCCTACATTAACAAATTCAGTTAACAGAGATGATGACAACTTACATCCAACTGCCTAGCTGACAAGTAGATGCAAGAACATGCAATGGTTTCTGGTGCATACCGTACAAAGACATCTGTCCTTAAACAATCATTCATGTAATTCCTGAAATAAAACAGAGTTGGAAAACATCCATCCATCTGGCACAATGATGCCAGGAATGCACGCAAATGCACGTAAAGTACATGATAAAGCAACTTTAATTAACCACATGATGTTCTTGGTGAGGTTTTTGTATAAATCAAAGTGAAGTAATTTTTCCTTACTGCATGATTTGAATTTATTAAGGAAATAACTCAGGTAAATGAACTTAAATAAGATTGACTTTGAAAACAACATCTTTTTTTATACAACAAAATATATTTATGGGTGTTTGGGGAATGTGAAGAAAATATTGGGTTTAACAAGACTATGCCATTATGTGTGGCTTTTGGTCTTGTTCACTTGTATCATCATTGCATAACAGAAATATTTAAATTACACTACAAATGCTTCATCTTTTACTGTTCATTGGAATCATAACATAAAACAATAGGAAAGGCTTCCAAATGAACATGGGCAGTAGTACTGTACATTCACAAGTAGTTTTGAGTCAAATTAAAAAACATGTCATGATGAATTAATATATTAGGTGATTTAGCAATATGGTGCTACAGCAAACATAACAGGCAACATTTTTCTTCAGATCCTTGTCTTGTCAGCACCTCACTTCAAACCAAAGCTAAGTACAGTATATACACTTGTTGAATTCTGAAGGACCAGTTACTGAAATCCTGGTGTACATTGAGTTACCAATAACCTGGTATTCATGTCAATGGCAATATAATCAGTTTGAAGTGGTAGAAATCAGTACCCCTTCATACAGTTTATCTGGTTGCTTAGAAGTGGAACACTTGTTGTACTTCACACATTAAAAATGTAGTTCATAAGATGGCCAACCTCAATTCACAATGCTGTCCAGTCTTTTAGTAGTCCATTTTACAATCCAATCAGGCTGAAACTAGAAAGTCTACTTGAGTTGAAAACAATTTATGAACTCAAGTGTTTCATTTAAATGCCTAAATAACACTTTCTCAGATTGCTCTTGCATGCATCTTATCAAATCCTCATCGTCTGTAGCACCAACCTGTCAATGTCTTTATTATAAGTCTTTTCAATTGAAAGTTGATACAGAAAAATGAATAATTCTGTTATAAACGTATCTTTACATAAATTATAATCTAATTACGATCAAATCAATCAATTGTATTAAAACAATTAAATACTGTAAACTATGAGGGCAATAGTCTTCAGACCTGCCACTCTCCTATGCGTGCATAGCTTTTTTTATTATTTTTTTTTAATGAAGTTGTATTTGCTCAAATTATGATGTAGCTTCAATATTTCTAAATAAACGAACTACCAATGAGGAAGTAGACTTGATGAAGCACCAGTGTAGGTACCATCGACAAGTTATCATACACACACTACAGAGACAACAACTCTTCCGTTGAACAGAACGCCTGGCTGAGCAGGAAGAGAATGTGACCTCCTTGTGCGAAGACAGAGCTTCAGTGAGATGTAGTTGGCTAGGGTAGGCTGATGCCACCACACTTACCTAGTCGTGGAAGCACTTACCTAGGTCCTTGTAGGAAAAGACAAAAGCATAGTGTTAGCAAAATATCATTTATATATTTAAGAAAACACAGAATACAAATCCAACTAGCTTAAAACCAATTAATTCCTCCATTTAGCAAGAACATCATGGGCAGACAAAGTTGCTTTATGCAAATTCTGCTTAAATTTTAATATGTATTTAATAAAAGTTCTAATGTGTATACATTAGTATTAAGCCCATATTCTTAAAACGAACACAAATTCTTAGTTCAAATCAAGATTTAAGAAGCACGAGTTAAAACAGCCTGCCCTTCACACTCATCAACTAATCAGAATTGTAGCCCTGCTGATTATGGCTGACAGGCAAACTATTGGTATTTTTTTTTTTTTTTTTTGAAGATAGGTACTGAAACTTGGAGAATTTACCCAATAATCCATATTTATCCATCAGCATAGCTGCCCGGTAAAAATCATACAATTATTTGTAATTGATGTTCAAGCCAATAACTTTACTTTGTGTGTATAATTACTTTTACTGAAATGTAAGCAAAGTGCTATTTTTCTTTATTGTTCAAATATTTCATTAATATTTTATCCAACTTAAATGGTGAATTTAAGTTTTTTTTTTTTTTTTAATTTACCAAAAAATAAATTAAAGCCAAATGGAATGTCTAACACTTTTTTAATGGATAAATATTTCCAGTCCTACAATACAATTTAGACGACAATTAGTGTATAAAATGTAGCTGATATGTAATTTTCTAGCAGGAATTATAGCTTTTAGTTCGTTTCAAGATTATGAGCACAGCCATGTTCATTGACAAAAACCTACACAAGGTCAAAAAGGAAATAAAAATGATCAATGAACATACTGATACTAACAAATACAAAAAGCATATAAACACTATGGTACTTACCAGGCGGTTTGTACAAGTTGAGTATTTCTCTCACACTCCAGGACTTGCAGGAATGTCACTATCATCTGCATAGCGACAAGGAAAATTCAAGATCACATGTTATTTACTGACCAAAATGAGATTTTTGTTAATTTAAAAAGGTAACAAGGACACCACTTAAATTATCACACATTTTACAGTGATGTAATACTTGCACAACATAATAAGGCTAATCAATTCATATATTACCAAGTGGGAACAAAGACTTCTGGATTTCATATCAATAACCCTGTAACAGAAATGTGTTTTTATTGTTGGAGCACATTATACCATAATATAGCAATGACTAGCAGAAGTATTTGTTGGTAAGCTTACCTTATGTGGATGCTTAACATGTACACAAAAACCAAGTTCTTTTAAAACTCTTCTTTCTGCTTTAATAACTTGACTCTTTAAGTTCACATACTTTGCATCCAAAACCAATGGGTCTACAGGTCTATAAAATATAAAACTTAAATCAACAATGTTGTCCTTAGGGTTGAATTTTGACATATACCTTTTGAAGCTTGCTGTTGAGCTGTCACAAAAAAAATTCAAGTTTAATATCAAATTCATGGAGGAAAATAATTAATTCAATGACCGAACAAAATTTAATTATTGTATATTTTTGATGATTTCCAGTTGTGATTTTGAATTTGTAATGATGCTGTCACTAGAGCCACTACCTGCCTAAAAAATTAGACCTACATTTTGAGATGACCAATATTGGCTTGAAAAAGGTCAAGTCGCTGATTTTTTAAAACAATTACTACACTATTAGAATATAATTTAAAACATATCTTACAGACGATTTTCTTTTCTTCATTTATAAACATATGTGGATTGAAAATAAGGTGAGCAATGATGCTTAAAAAGTAAAAGTTTTTTTTTATATTATTTTGAATTATGAAGGACTAAATGATAACATAACTGTAATACAAATAACAAGCTACATATACCTATTATTTCTTTTCTGTCGTATATGATGGAAGACGTTGATGACATCACGTATTCTTCTGGGAGCTTCTTCAATCTTGGATGCTAGATAAACACAAGCCATTGCAACTACCTACAAAGTGAATACATAACCCACAATTATCTGTCAGTCCTAAATTGGGTGAAATGGTTCTTGGCCAAAACAACTGTTAGAAATGTATGTATGCATGTATTTATGTATTTTGAAAATGCTATACCGAGCCCTGCATTTTTAACAAAATCAATCATGAATAGGTAAACATTTTTTCAATTAAAAACAAAATAATTTTCATGTTTTATTTAAACACATTGCCTACATTTTGACAGTACTGTACATGTTGAGTTTGAGAAAATTTAATATTAATTTAGTTCTTCCATAGAACTTTATTACTTCATCATAAAACATTGAAGTAGAATACTGTGTATTACAGGCACAACATTTGCCAGCAACACTGCACTTCAAATTTTTACAGATACTTTTGTATGTTCATAAGGCGACTTAGCTTTTAGAGTTTCGCAAACACTTAATATTTATCTATCATGATGCAAGAAGGGTAACATTACCATCTCTGATGAACTTAAAACAATGGCCCTGTTATTTATGTTATCCGTAATTATGAAATGACATACAACTAACCTCCATATTATGTTTGATAAATGATTTGGAGTAGTAAAATCTCTGGAACAGAACTTCACTGGTAGCCATGGCAACCTGAATCAAAATAAAAAAATATAAACTTCAGAGTTTCCAGGGGTGGTTTGCTATACTCGGTCATCGACCAAGATTGGCTATAATCATTCTGGTCTATATATTTTATAGACCATTGCTACTGTGTACCGTGATCTAACCAGTTGGCTTGCTATAATTTTTTAGACCGCTAGGAGGAGACCGTAATTTGTCTATCAATAAATATGGCATTTTTTTAAAATTTTCCCTTCTATAAAATAGGAGTGGGCAATAAATAAATGGGTGATAAATCAAATATCTGCGAGTGTTAAATGAAGCGGTTTATTAACCTGAGTATTTTGATACCTTTTTTAGGAAAGTTGGTTAAAAAATGGGAAAGTGCGGCCCAAAAAACAAAATAAAAGGGGCATGCTGTAAAATGACCCTTCGATGGTTAAAATATGTGAAAAAGGTTGTAACTTTTAATTACAGTACAGTCATGAAATATTGCACTTTTACCTGCGCGCAGGCTTCGTAGCCTGATATAAACAATCTAAGCAAGGCTACACGAAGCGAACCTACGAAGCAAAAGCATGTTGTTTATTTGTATGTGCAGAAAGACTGCTGTAGCTTACTGGAATAAACAATGTATTGTTTGATAATTTGTGAATGGCAAACACGAGTTTAGACCGTTAATTAAAAGTATGGAACTGTTTTTCAATAAGAAAAACGTACACTTGACTTCATGGGACGCTCCTCTTCCACTCGCTGTCCATGACAGGAACTTGTTTGTACTGCTGTATTATTTTTTTTAATTAATTAGCCTAGGCCTAGCTATTTTTTATTTACAATTATTTTACCTCATTTAAACGATGTCCTCAATGGCAATACACACATGTGAAAAAATTGTTCATCAAATAATATTTTGTAGTCTTGATTTAGTAAGATAAATAAAAAATATAAAGGAGAATTAACGTCCGTTGGTTGTAAAATTACCGAATGTCCCATGGAAAACCCATTGGAAAATAAAACTTAGCCAGCATTAGACGTCAGAGTGCGCGCCAATCAGAACACAGTAAAGTGTGTTAAAGGTTAACCTCGTGGCAAATGTTGAAAAGCTGTGAGCAACAGTGAGTAAAAAACGAAGTAAATGCGGTCTAGCATGACTAGCCTTAATTCGGCAATGTAGTGATTTCTATACTTCCATTTAGTATTGGATCGCTTTGCAGGTTGTTCTGCTTCAAATTACGGTAAACAATATAAAACGTGGTCTGTAGAAATCGTAATAATTTGTACATGATTTGTCATCAGTATTATTTAAAAGAAGAAAATTCCTACTACCAGAAGAATAATATCAGATCAAAATTCTCCGAATTGGAAAGTTTACCAGTATAACTACTGTCTGCTCTCCTCCTCTATAGAACATCAAGGTCGGGTTTTCAATCTCTCGCTGTGCATTTCACTTGTGTCCTTGAGCAAGACACTTTATCTGCATTGCTTCTCTCCACTCAGGAGTATAAATGGATACCTGGTGGGCTTGCCTGCTCCTGCGCTGATTACCAGCAGCAACACTTAGCATGTGGACCCAATGACCCAAAACAATTTAAACAATCACGTTATTTATATTACTGTATTTACAAACAATTATTTATTTAAAATGATTAAGACCAGGTTTAAAATAGTATAAAATTATTGCGTTTATATTAAAATACATATCGACAGTGAAGAAGAGCAGAAAATGCATTAAAATAGTATACACACCACAAAAATGTATCTTTCAATAATTTTATTTCAGCAAATTCGTACAACGTTTAATGAACACATTTTTAATTAATTTGAATGATGTAAATTGTAATAATTATATTTTTATTAACTTTCAATTTATTTGATATTTTCTTTCCATATTGTAAATATTGTAGAAATCTCCAAATACTCTATACAGTATGAATAATATTATAATACAGTTATAATAATCTTTCTCTACAACCAAGCACTTTAAGTTAACTGTAAACGCCCTTCATTGAAAAAATAACAATAGAATACACATTTCCATGGCAGGGCTTGAAATTAAGGGTTATTTGGTCGCATTTGCAACCTGATTTTTTAAGATACGACAAGGAATTCAACTTTGTCGCAGTCAGTGCGACAAGGTCATTTGATAGCGCGAGTAGATTTTGTAAGCGACAGGAAGGTGGTTTCCCTCCAAATCCCAATTACTGTATTACAACTTGTACAGCCCATTATTTTCAGTCAGGCAGTACGCAAAACATGTTATCATTCATTTTACATGTACTGTATCAACCAATCAGCATGACCTAGACTGTTAAAGTGCAACGTCGTACACTAAAACCGTGTCGATGTGCGCTCATCTTATTCTTGGTAAATAAGCGATCACCGTCAAAGCGAAGGAGACTGGTATAAAAACATCGGATTGCTCAATTTTTTACTATTTTATTGAGTGCTAACCTCTACATTATGAAACAAGATTACGCTTCTTTAATCACATGGCTGATGATAACAAAGGGTAATAAAATACTCTTTGATGATAACCTCAGCCAGACTTCACGGAGCAGCTATAGTTTAACAACATGCATCTCAATGAGCAACATCTTGAAATTTACAAAAAAAACGAACAAACAAATAGGTCTAACAGCAAATTTTGAAACCTAATTAAATGAAATAACTCCTTTACTACCATTTATTTACTGAACGAGCCAGTCGGCTTCTGACCTACATACTTTTGTTCGTATCGGCAGCGTACAAAGATTCAAATGACTTTGTGTCTGGCAACCTCGGTGTCTGTGTCTACCAGGAGGAGCCTGGAATTGGGAACGTTTCTCACTGAATGTAGTACACGGTTAAGCAGAGTTATTTCATAGGTAACTAGTAATGGGCCTCTATCAAACAATTTATTTCGTTCTTAAAGTATCAGCAGAAAGTAAGCAAAATGATTGTTTAATCGTGTTTTGAAATAATATGAAAATTGAATTGTATATAAATGAATATTTAAAAATGAAAATTTAAATGTGGAATTAATAAAGTGCAACAATTGAATTAATTGGTTAATTTAATCTATAAGATATATAAAAAATATATAATTCTACAAGGAATGTTTCTTGTTTTGACAAACAACAACAAAAAACGTAACAACAAAACATCGAACTAACTGGTAGCAGGCCTTCCAATTACGAAACTATATTTCGCGGAGTAACATCCCAAACCACATGTGCGCCCGAATACACCGGCTGGCGAGTAAGGTATGTTCAGTTCATTGCAAGTTGTAAACCAATCAGAATGCTGGGATATTACATCATTCGGGGCAACTTGCAATGTTTGGGATATGTTACTTCGCGAAACCTTTGTAAACACTAGAAGTGTGACGATGTTCTCTGGCGATTAATATACTGAAGTTTCGAAGTTGGAAGGCGTACCAGTTTTTTTTAAATAATTCTCAATAAAAACAACTATTGAACAAGAAAATGAAACTATAGATTGTTATATATGTAGATATAAGATACTTTGCTGAAGTTGTACAGGCCCAGACCTAAGTTCTAGGCAACATTATAACCAAGATAAGAAGTGTCGCCGGCCGACTGTGTGATGCCAAGTTTTCGGGTTTAAAACGAAGCGTAAATGGCCTCTGACAAGTGGGGAGCCGGAATCTCAGCACTCCCGAAATGAAAACTCTGGAACTCTGTTTATGTTGAAATTATGTGTAAATTGATTTAGAGTTATCTCATAAAGAAAAAAAATTCCATCCACGCATATTAAAAATAAGTCTGCCAGTTTCCGCGCAAATGTTGCAGTAAAGTCGGCCGGTGGCTATTGTAACCAATGTATAGGCATTCGCAGTGTTAATGCGATTCTGCGGACCTATTTTCTCGAAATTTCCTGCACAAATGAAGAAAAATACTGAAAAATTTAAAGAAAGTGTACAGAAAATATAATTAATGTTTCAGTAATAATAATTAATAATTATATAATCAATATATCAATCCACTTAAGTAAC